CGCTGCCCGGCGACGCGCAGGGCGTTACACATACGAACACTTGAAAACCGCCTTCTTTCTTTTTCTTTATCCAAATCATCGTTATTGTCTTATGTGTGTTCATTTTAGAATAATTACTAGTATGATATTAATAGTTGGGTCAGTGTCTTCAAATTAAAGAGAAATAAAGAAAACGCTACCCGAAGAAATTAATGTTCAACACTTTAACGTATATTCTTAAAATTTTGTTTCTTTTATATTACCTAGAAAAACTATATGTGCATATGTAAAACAAATTTAACTATCACTCATTTTTAAGTCTAAATAATGACTGTTTTCCCAAGTTAATGAAATAAAGCTTTATCATTGGTCATAGGAGCCACTGTAGTATTTCTTGCACGCACATGCTGTTAGAAAAGCAGCTCCGGTTGCTGGACTTTTTGTTTTCCACTGTTGCTAACAAATGTGAAGAACATCCTTGGTCCTGCAGGTTTTTGACTGTCCAGTCATTTGTCCTTTAGGACATGTTCCTAAAGTGGAACTTCTTGGGTCAAAAAGGAGCACATTTCTTTAGTTCTGGTGCCTGCTGCCAAACTGTGCGTTTCATTCACTAATTACAGGGGCCGGGCTCTGAGGAGTAATTAGCAGAAACGCCAAGAGCCGTCCGGCTCGCAGGGCCTCTCTGCGGCATCAGTCGGTCTTCTAAACCACTGTCCGCCACGCTCGGATTGCTTTTGATTGCTGTGATGCTGATGGAATGTGTGCCATCTCTATCTCCTCGGTTCTCGTGAGGAGCGATTGGGACCACGTGCCCATCAGACACGACGGCCTTGCTTTGGGACCTGGGGGTGTGACTGGACTGGAGCAGCAGGCGGGACACGCTCTGGGGCTAACACGGGGCCTTGGAACCCTCCAGACAACCCCACCTGGCCACACGCCCCTTTCCTTGTCGTCCTTCCCCCGCAGTGCTCAGCGCTGAAGGAGGAGCTGAGAAGGGAGGAAGCGCACAAGGAACACAGGGACGCCGAAGGGAAAGAGCTGAAACTCTGCAAAAGTGTAAGCGGAACTTCCTTGCTCATAGATGCCGCCAGAAAAACTAGACTTTGGGCCGGGCGTGGTGGCTCACGCCTGTAACCCTAGCACTCTGGGAGGCCAAGGCAGCAGGATTGCTCAAGGTCAGGAGTTCAAGACCAGCCTGAGCAAGAGTGAGACCCCGTCTCTACTATAAATAGAAAGAAATTAACTGACCAACTAAAATATAATAAGAAAAATTAGCTGGGCATGGTGGCACATGCCTGTAGTCCCAGCTACTCGGGAGGCTGAGGCAGGAGGATCACTTGAGCCCAGGAGTTGGAGGTTGCTGTGAGCTAGGCTGACGCCACAGCACTCTAGCCCGGGCAACAGAGTGAGACTCCGTCTCAAAAAAAAAAAAAAGAAAAAAAAAACTAGACTTTGACCTTCAGGTTCTTGGTAAGATCCTTGGTCCATCACGAAGCACAAAGCCCTGTGGCCTGTGTTCATTGTTTTTAATGTAGTCTCAGAATTCCTTGGTTTGCTGCCCTTGGCCCCAGGGAGCGATGGGCAAAAAGACCACGGAAAACACGCTCCGGATCCTCTGGGCCGTTGGCTCTTTCCCCCTCACTGGCTGGCACAGGGAGGAGGGTGGGTGCTGGCCAGCTGCCACCGCAGGCTGCTGGACGTTCCCTCTGGTCCCCGCCCCAGACCTGCGATTCCCAAACTTATGTTCCGCTGTCAGAAGTTTGTCATAGCACTGTTGTTGACACAAACTTCTTCCTTCAGTATTTTTGTTTAAACGCATCAATTTGACACCAAGTCATAAAAACAAAACAAAAAGTTATCTATCATTTGCCTTATATAGAAGCTGACCATAAAAATAAATACAATGAAAATAGGACCATTAAAATTAGGCTGGGTGAAGTGGCTCACACATGTAATACCAGAACTTTGGGAGACTGAGGCAGGAGGTTCACTTAAGCCCAGGAGTTCCAGACCAGCCTCGACAACACAGCAAGACCCTGTCTCTAAAAATAATAATAATAATATCATAATTATTGACATTAATTTCTTGGGGTAGCGTTTTTCTTCTTATCTCTTTAATTTTGCTTGCCACTATTATCTATGTATTATTCTAAAATGAACACACGTGGCGTACGTAATTTGGAAAAGAAAAGAAAGACAGGCGTTTCAAGTGTTCATTCGTGTAACGCCTTGGTCGCCGGGAGCCCGTGTGCTAACGGCAGGCACAGGCTGGAGAAGAAGGTAGACCCTGTTTCAAGGTCAAGAGGGAAGGAGAAATGGGGGCAAAAATAACCCCAGTGCACTGCGGGAGGAGGTGGAATCGCCAAACAGGTGCCATGTCCCTCTATTTCTGCCACCAAGCGTCAGCTCTACCCATCGCCCTCCCCAACACACACACACACACACACACACA